CCCCGTTAGGGTCATTAATCCTAGTTTCGGACACACAACACACATCAACACCCAGTGTGTCCAAGGTGCGTGCGAGTGCAGCCTGCTGACCTGTTTGTCTTAGAGTGCGGACGTTGAATGTCGCCATGGAAACGGGACAGCGTGGCCTTATAAGGGACTTTTGCCGATAGGCGTCCGATATGTGCTGTGGGATGGTGGCTGCAGATGGTTCTACTCCAGTAGCACTTCGATTGCTGTCAATTAAGCTGGGAATTATAGAAGGAAGGTTAGTAATAGGGGCCGGGATGGGAGTAAGAGAAAAAGGTGGAAAAGAAAGAAGGGAGGCGCCAGCAGTAGCATGCTTTCGCTTATCCGCCCTGTTGTATGCAGCAGATAAGGCGACCCTTGATAATCTGCGCGACGGCCGATGCAGGATGAAGTTTATGTTTGAAGAAAATGCCATGGTTGTATGTGGGCTGGGATACTGCCAGGGCGCCCAGACCTAGACAGACAGGACTTCAGTAAAGCCTTTAACTCAGTGAATCATAGTGTTTTAATTGAGAAGCTGACATGGTTTGGATTGCATCCTCCACTATTACTGTGGCTCTCTGAATTCATACGTGGAACAACATTTAAAGTCAGGGTTGGGGAAGCGAGTTCTAGTGTTGGAATGACTTCAGCGGTGTTTCTCAAGGTTCACTACTGGGTCCATTGTTGTTTCTTATGTTTATAAATGACCTGCCTCCTCTTCTTGAGGATGCCTGCTATATCTTCGCGGATGACTTAAAGCTAGTTAGTAGGGGAAACCAAGCGACATTGGCTAAGGACATCGTCACTGTGGTGAATTGGTCGAGCCAATTGTACCTACCTCAGAATGCCAATAAATGTCAGCTATTGAGCAACAGTAGTAGTGGAATTGCAGTGCTGACTTCTGCGGGATCTCTATCGTTGCAGTGTAATGATGAAGCCCGCGATCTAGGTGTCATCATAGTGAACAATTTTAAGACTTCGGCACACTGTCCCCATGCTGCCAATAAAGCGCGACAAGTCGTTTCGTCATAAGAGGGCGCTGAGTAACACTAAAGCAGAAGTATTCTTGCCGCTATATAAAACAGTGGTTAGACCACATGCCGAGCATTGTGTTCAGACCTGGGCATCGTAACTCCGTATTGACGCCATGTGTATAGAAAAGATTCAGAAACTTGCGACAAGGATGGTCGAAAGCCAACGAGGGAAGTCGGACGAAGATCGTCTAAGTATCTTGGGATTATTTTCCTTGGAACGGCGTAGGTTGAGGGGATTTTATTGAGACGTTTAAAATCACTAAGAGATTTAGTGGTATTAGTCACACACATGTTTGAGTTGGCTATGTCGGACCAGCTGCGCGGGCATCACCTGATGCTCAATCATAGAGCTCATTTAGACATCAGGGCAAAACTTTGTATGAATCGAGTAGTTAACCTCTGGAATGTGCAATGAGCCTGTAGAAGCCTTCAAAAAAGGGGCTTAGATGAGTGTTGGTCTGTGCTTTCCCCAGAGATAGTGTAGTTGTACTGCAAAGATTGCTCTTGTTCTTACTTCATTCTTCTGCAGAAACAAGCAGAGTCAATCCAAAGTCGAAGTGCCGGGGGCCGACTCACTTACCGGCACAAGAAACAGGACACTCGTCAGGCGAAGGCCTCTAACGTCCGTTGTATCTGACCTGACCACATTGCAAACCTGGAGGACCAAAGTGGCCGAGGTGTTTGGAATTCAGCAACTGACCTCTGGAACCAGTAGCTCTGATAGTATAAAAAGCATCATTAAGCGTGGCTGAGTGAATCGCTGAAGCATGCAAGTCGTCGCATAGGACAAAGGTTCAAATATATTGCGATGGTACATGCAACCATGAAACAATTAAAAAGGCAAAGGCATTAGAAGTATGCCTGTAAGCAGTACCGACGCTTCGTTGCCGTGCAACCACCACCAGTCGCATTTATGCTAAAGATAAGGCGAGGGCCGCCCGGTCCATGTGCAGGCTCGAACTGGCGCCCTCGGTGTACAAGTCAGACTCATCATCATCATCATCGTCATCATCATCATCGACAGCAGTATATCAGCCATCTGAACTGATGCTTCGCTGTTATACAGCCACGAGGACGTATGAAATAAAGAATAAGAAGATAGAGAGAAAGTGGACTTACCTGAAAACCTTAATGCCCTAAGCAAACATTCAGGGTCAAGGAGCTTACACCTTGTGTAGACAACATACCGTCAAAAACAGTTGGCTATCATGCAAAGATAAGGCGGCATCGGCGAGACAGCTTCCTTGCGGCTTTCACTGCCACGCGTCATAATCAGCCATTACCCCGCAGACAACTCAGCACCAAACACACTTTAAACAGGCAATCCGATTAGAAGACGGCAGCAGACGCGCCACTGGTGTCGGCTGCGAGCCATGTCCTGCAAAGTCTCGAGCCAAGCACAAGGCGAGTCACGTGGACTCCAACCCGGAAGGCGAGACGGACCAACGGCACCCAATTTGATCATCACTGACTTCATTTTCCGCTGCCAAGTCAATTTCTGTCCACCTCGAGCCTTGCGCCACCTTACACCTGGCAGACTAAACAAGGCCTTCCTAGGTAAGCGGTGACCAGACATACGTAGCAAGTGCCCGAGCCAACGCAACTTATTCAGTGCTGTCTGTGGTTTTACGGAGCTAGCATTCAGTTGCTCATTTGTTCGCCGAGCTGCGAAATGGGTTTGCAAACGTTTCACCGTCATGCGAGACGGCATCATCAGTGCGTCGAGATGTGGGGTGCAATCTCGCTGATTCGCGGAGCTAGCATGATCATCACTACCAAGTACTCGCCTACGCACATCATCGTTGCGGACTTGCTGGTGCCATCCGACACCAGCAATGCTTCGCAGACAACGATGATCAAACACTTGAAGGCGCCTCAGAACTTCAGACCGAAGGGGCCAAGTTTCACTACCATAGAGCAGAACGGCCCTCACTGTGGCCTTGTATACCCGGCCTTTCAGACGAAGGGAAACTCCCTTCTGTCGCCAAACATGCCGCAGGTTCAAGGTAGCTCTGGCTTTTGCAATGCGTGAGCTCATGTCAGTTTCTATGCGCCCATCATTGCTGATGCAGCTGCCAAGATAAGTGAATTGATCAACCACCTCGAGTTCCTCGTTAGCAACAGTCAAGGGGTCATCGAGTGACTGGTGGTCCTGCAGCAACACTTTGCACTTTGAAGGTGCAAAGTGCATACCAAATAATGGGACCACTCTGGATAGGCTATTCAGGGTTGATTGTGCCGCCTCAGCATTGTCGAAAAGCAAGACGATATCGTCCGCATAATCTAGATCAACTAACCGTTCACCAGGCAGCACTTCAAAGCCTATATCATGAGATTCCGCGAGGGAACACTCTATGATAGAATCCACGACGAAATTGAACAAAAATGGGGGAATCGGACAACCCTGTCGAACGCCACTTGTAGTCGAAAAGCTATCCGATAGGGCACCATAGACCCTGACGCGGCCTCTAGTGTTCGAGTATAGAGCACGAAGGATGTTCACATATTTCGTGGGAACACCTTTCCGCGCAAGTATTTCGAACAGAATCGATCGATCGACTGAATCGAACGCACTCTTCAAATCGAAGAACACAGCTATTGTCGGTCTGCGGTATGCGTGGCGCTGCTCTAGCACCTGCCGCAAAGTAAATATATGGTCTATACAGCCACGTCCTGGGCGAAAACCGGCCTGCTCTTCTCTAATCCGAGATTCCCGGTCTGCAGTGAGGCGACGAACGATAATCGAGGCCAGTAATTTTGTCGCAACTGGCGCTAGGCTAATACCCCTGTGATTAGAAAAGTCTGTGCGACTGCCCTTCTTGTATATTGCCACAATAATCGATTCGCTCCAATTAGCCGGCACACTTCCTTCCAGATACGTTCGAATATGGAGGTCAGTGCTTTGCAGGTGGGAGGGAATCCGGGCCAGGGCCACGAAAACGAATAAGGGATGTGCTCGCGTTTCGGACCTCGGCCGCCGACGGAGGCTCTAAACTAACCGTCCATGGCTCGTCCTGCATCACCTGAGTAGGAAGAGGTCGGGGAGCAGGGGGCCAGCTGAACTGGTCTTGAAAGTGTTCCGCAGAAGGAGCCATACGGCATTCCTTATTGTGTATCAGCGCACCCGCGCTGTCTCTGATTGTCTCACTGACATCTGGTTTTCTGGGACCAGTAGTACGGATAAGCTGGAAGAGCTTGCGGTAATTGCCTACTGCTCCTGCCTCCTCCATTTCTTGAGGCCTACTGGTACACCAGGCTTCCTTGTCAGCAAGTAGTCTCTGCTTTAGTTCACGCCTAATAGCCCGTTTGGTCACATCGTTTTCAGAGCCAGCCGGGAGTTTTCTTCTACAGGCCAACAAGGCAGACTTGTGATCCTTAGAGTTACGGACCGGACATGAATGGAGTTGGACAATATAAACGTGTTTTATATGGTACCAGAGTGCACACATGCGATAACGGTCAAAGGTAAGGACATCAAGGTAAAACGATTGTTCACGGACATCAAATTTAAAGTTGGGGGTGTATTAAGCCAGCGATTCAGTCCATCAACGGTCGATTTTTGTAAGAGAACTACCAATTGAGTAAATGATAATTGACTACAAAGTATCTGAAAATGAGACTGCAAAAGGAAGATCTTATGACCCAGTTGGTGGGTAATGTGAGCAGTAATGTGACACTCCTACACCGCTCGCCTAAATGAAGTGAGTTCAAAACAATAACCGGTATTGCAGAAGGAACAAGAAACCACCATTAAGCTAGTGAGAAGATCGCGGGCCAGGAAAGATGACGAAGAGTGGATTTTCGAGTACGGCGAAAGCACGATTAGGGCACCTTAAACCAATGAAGTCAGTTGTTTTTGTCAATTTAATGTCTTCAATGTTTGAGGAGTTGGCGGATTACGCTGAATGAAGTCGGTATATAAGCTAGACGTATCAGAGAAAAGCTGAAAAATCTCACCTTAAACGTCCAAAGCTGGACACCGAAGAATGCCGAGATGATCGACACAAGCATCAGAAAGAGGAGAGACTCAGTTACGCTGAAGCTGGACAAGATTCGGCGTAGTTCATGACTTACCCATCGAAAGACATGGATCCAGTGACAAATGACTGCCATTGAGAGGCATAAAAAGTGCAGTTAAGTATAAAAAACTCAACGAGCATTGCAATAGGGCTGTTCCCAAATCCAATGATAGAGAAGTACCCCATCGATAGAACATCTAAAACATTAGTAAGTAATCAAGAAGCCCTACACATAGAGATTGCATCACATCCGTGATCGAAGAGCTCGCCTAAAGGGGAGCAGGTGTTTGTTCTACGTGCGTGGAGACCATCTAAAGCGTCCAATGTTTGATACAAAAATACAGCTGCACAAAAGAATAAAACAGATGAAGCAGGTATCTAAAAATGACGGACAAGTCGCGTACCTCATTACGAAAATTTGGACTATAGTACAAGATTATGAGTGTGGAGAAAACATTTGCGAGCAGACCCGATAAAGTCAAGGTGTTGGGGGCCACTCTCTTGGGCACAAAAGTTACTCCCCATTTCCAGAAAGGTTCCAGTAGGGGTTCGACAGCGGACTTTCCAAAGGACTTATACCGGTGCTCAACAATGCGGGGTAGCTGTTCTTCCAGAAGTGCATCACTGGTGAGAGTAGAGAACATAACGGCACTGGCGAATCCACATTAACGGAGGGCACCAAGGTTGGATTTCAAGGTCATTGGTCATCGTATCATTAATTTCACACGCAAGCTCAATTGGAATTAAGACAGTAGGAATTTTGCAAGTATGTCACTTCGTGAAGGCGTTTTACACCCAAGATATTTTTGTTCGGAAATACCGGCAACCAAGTACTGGTAAAGTAGCACGCACGAATCACACTACACACAAGTACTTTAGGTCAAGTTCAAGTTAAGTTCAGACCGGTACGATAGCATAAACCCGTGAATGTTCTTTCTTTCGCGTATCGTTGGATCGAGAATTAATAGGTCTGTTTGAGCTGTTGAAAAGCCTAACCAAAGACGGCATCAAAACCTATCCACCCAACTACTACCAAAACTTTCCTGCCTAGCAGTTCCAGCTAGGCCAGTTTATTTGAAGTAAGGAAGAGCGAAGGCTAAGCTATGAAAACGGAAGGAGGATGGTCAGTTAACTAATGATAATACCAAGGTATGAAAACTAGAATACTCGAACCGAAACCTGAATCTACAACTCGGTTAGGAGGAGGGAAATTTTGGTACTATGTTCAAGAGCACCTAACTGACGTTCGAAATCCTCTACCGTAAACTCCCTAAAGAAGTACCCTGGAAACGTTCCTAAGTTCAAGCAAGTTCCCTACCTAACCCAGTTCGTGCAGCTTCAATTGGGAACTTTAGAGACTAGGCAACTTGGCGGGACTAAATAGCCAGGAACTGTTTAGACCAAGCTTGAGCCTTAGGATTCGGTTTGTGAAAACCACACCTCCTCTGATTTTCCGGTAGTGCACTAAGTACATGCCAAAGCTAAGCAAACGTTCGGGATATGTTTGCCTCCCCCTACGCCCTGCACTGACCTTGTGCCCGCTCGCAACACCATCTACAGTTCCAGTTTGTCTCTTACCAGATATGATAGGCAAACCTGGATACAGTATGCGAAATGGGGTCGCACAAAAGCTGAGAACAACTTCACAAAACTATGAGCTGTTAGGACCCCGCAGAAGCAGAGAATAAACCACATCATACGAACCCTCTACAAGCAGCCCTCCTCCAAATGCCCCAGAGTGAAGCACTGAGGTGTGGACGATACCTAGTTCAACCAGCTGAAGGACAACCGAGATCTTACTGTCACCAACTACATAGCGCGGTAGGGTACTAGCACCCCCAATGCGGAGGACAGAATAGTGAGCCTGGTATATAAACATCAGCCATAAGGTTGAGCAGCCCCAGAAACTATCCAAGGCACTCTGAATTGCCTCAGAGCCTCAGTGATGTCCAAAAAATTTCTTGAGCCTGAGGTCCTGGGCGACCAATGGCGAGAATACTTCAAGCTCCTGGGGTAAGTCGCCGATATAAATTGCGGACAGCAACGGCCCTAAAACCGAACCCCCGTGAACGTCACAAAGAAGATTTTGCGCATGCGAATTACTAGGTCCAACCCTTATACACGGTTTTCTCTTCTCCAGGAAAGCAGACATCCAAGTAGGGGCGCCTTCAGATATCCCATACGATCTCAGCTTTAGCGAGGGTCGTTGATGTGGGACGAAATCAAAGGCTTCCGAGAAACCAATGAAAAGAAGGTTGACTAGCAAGCGCTTTCCCTACAAAAAGCTACAAGTGTCTGTTGAACAGCAATGCGCCGTGGCGGATGTGACTCGCCACATAATAAAGTTACTGCCCCTTGTTCGCACTGGCAACTTGATCGATACCTACTTCGCCAGAGCAGTGGGAAGACATAAGTTTCGGTATGTTAACATTTCGACTGTTCTCATCAGTCGCAAACACAATACAAGCGGTATTCATAGACAGTTATATAAATAGGGAAAAGTTGGCTTATCAATCAAATTGTCAAAATCAAGACCACAGTAACCTAATTGATTATCTCAATAGTTGCTGTGCACACAACACAGGTTGTTAAGCCCTAATTCGCAAAGCCTCACCAATTGTCAAGATTATTGGATTGTTCTTTCGTAAGGACACTTTGAACGCAGTCTCCTGGTTCACCTGATATCGGGTTGACAAAAGTTGCTTGGTTTTGTTGTAGCCGGTACTCAAACGCATGGCCACGAGTTGTCTAAAGGACTCCTTTGAATTAGCCCAAACATCGGAACACGTGTCGCTGGGTGCGGAGCACATGTACTCAATAGACGTCTACTCCCTATTCACAAATGTGCCTCTACGTGAGACGGTTGAAGATTTGTGTGATTACGTGGCGAGTCAAAACATGTCTGTTGGCCTCCCGCTGGGGTATTTGAGGGATATGATCCTGTTATGTACGGAAAATATACGGTTCGATTTTGCTGGCACTGTTTATAAACCGATCGACGGCGTCGTCATGGCTAGCCCTCTAAGACCAGTATTAACAGACATCTTTCTCGGCTTGATAGAAAGACAAGTTACTGCCGGCATTGGTGAAGCTACGTTGTACAAGCGGTATGTGGGCGACATTCTAGTGTTCACCAGAAACGAACATTTTGCGCCGCTGTCGACAATTCTGCATTCGATTCATCCAAATCTATCGGTGTCCCGTGAGTTGGAGCAACACAATAGTTTGCCATTTTTGGATATACTCATTAAGTGCCGGAACGATTGTACACTACAGCGCACGGTTCATTGCAAGACTACTTGGAGCGGGCAGTACATCCACTTTCCAGCATTGTCCTGGTCGCATACGAACGTGGCCTATTGAAAGCGCTTTTCTACAGAGCCAGACGGATATGCAGCTTCAAAATGTTGCAAGCTGAAGAAGAATTTTTGTGCAAAACCTTGGTGTCAAATGCGTATCCTGAGAAGTTCATTCAGAGCCACAGCAGGCCTCCCAAGGAGAACATACTGATGTCAACCGCAGAGAACATGAATGTTTTACTTGTGCTTGCCGTTCAAAGGAGACCATGTATCAAGGTAGATTGGACATAAACTTTGGTCCGCCCTTACGCGCACCTACGCGACCGCCCAGTTGCTACTCATACGTACAACGCGAAGCCTTGTTCTTCATGACCTTCAGAGCAACTCATCAGTCAGTTCGGCCTACCACGTCGTTTACCGGTTCGCCTGCGGTTGCGGTGACAATTACTAGGCAGGACTGACCGTCAGTTACCTCAGAGGGTAGCTGAATATGTGCCGAGGTGGGTGGAGCAACTGATGACGCAACAAAATGGAGTGGATCCGAGGAAGAACAGGAGTCCCGCATCATCTATCAATGAGCATCTCTTGGAAACCCGATATCAGGTGAACCCGGAGAATGCGTTCAAAGTGCTATTACGCAAAAACAATCCGATAATCTTGGCAATTAGTGAGGCATTGCTGGTCACGGCTTATCCACCAGTATTGTGCGCACAGAACCTATTGAGACAATCAATTAGGTTACCGTGGTTTGGATTTTGACATTTTGGTTGGTGTGCCAACTTTTCCCTATTTATATAACTGTCCATGAATCCCGCTTGTATTGTGTTTGCGACTGATGAGAACAGTCGCAATGTTAACACATCGCAACTTATGTCTTCTCACCGCGCTGACATAATGACTGAAGTGGACCCACTGTTTTTCGATACCTATTTCACAAGTTCATTGCATGCAACTGCTCTCATACGACTGTACGGACACCTGTGAGCAGGGACATGTCACGATGCTTAAATTATTTTCATCGGCTTTACCTCATGCTTCCCTCAAATAAATATATAAATAAATATGTTATGCTCGACTGTGCTAGGCACACCCATGGAGGCGTGATCAGGTAGGTACAACGGTACACACATTTTATGGTAATCGTAACAGCGACTGAAGAAAATTGTTCACACGTTCATTATTGGAACTGTACAACGGTAGAAATGTGGAACAATAATTGGGCTGTCGTGAGATCGGGACCCGTTGGTTAGCACGTAGTCTGTCTGCCATATGATGCAAGCACCTCACAGCTTATAATAAATTAAGGATCCTGAAGGATCCACTAGAAGATAATTAAAGAGCATGATAGGGGGGTATGACGATGTACTGCGTTCGTGCCTACGTACTGCGAAGCTCAACGGTGATATCGCAGCAAGAAAAGAGACGATAGCATATTGGTGAAACGGTAGAAAGAAGAGACGAGAGTATACGCAGATGTAGAAGTTCCAGTGTAACTAAAGTATATAGAATGGCGATGCTAGTTCACCTGCCAGTGTGAAGTTACTGGCTGTGGTTTTAGTCGCTGAATAGTCACGTTCGCTACGTTACAGTGTTGTTAAATGGGCATTTATGGCTTTTACAGGGTGCAGCTTGCCAGGCAAAAACCCACCACGTCCTGAAACACTGGCGCCGGTCCATTAAATGGCAAGTTATGACTGCCCATGTTACTTGTTGAGTGAGTAGGTGCTCGGTTACCCGCAGTAAAGTTGCATCCCGTTCTTCTGTTGGCTAATGCGTTACGCGAGTGCCGATTTCGTTCCTGGATCCCATACTGTTTTGAACGAATGGCTGTCCCCGATTGGTTGGTCACAACTTAAATAGTTTTAAAAATGATGTGTTGCTCATCGGTTACACCACATGATACCTCCGAGGGATATCCATTAAAGTATGTTAAAATCCTGAAGGATAGGATAAGGTTCCGAGAAACAAATCGTATATCCTCCTGGGGCAATTTGTAAAATTGTTTGGAAATAAAGGCACAACGGCCTGTAGTGACCTGGAGATTCCCCTGTTTGGCTGCCGCATGCTGCGTAAAATATTATAATATCACAAAATTATATTTTCCCGATGTACATAGCAAATTAGCCGCTCGCCTGTTTGAACGTTGCTCGCGTTTGTTTGAGTCAACATAGCATCCGCCTTCGAACGGCGCGACGCACATCGGCTCCGCGGCCATCTTTGCTCCCCGCGCACGCGACCACACCTTTTCCCTAGCTAGCTATCTTCCGGTGCTTTATTTTTAGCACTAGATAGCGTTTCGCCCCACTTAATAAATTTTTCCTAGCGTTACTTTTGGTGTTCTCCACTCATCGGAGGTTGGCGTTATATTCGCGTATTGGTTCTAAAGCGTACGGATCCTGCTTCTCGCT